AAAAAGTAAAGTACATTTCATTAGCTTAAATAACTTCTTATACTATTTCTTCTCACCTAACAAACTTACGTATCTTTACGTACTGGCTTTACTAAAAAAACTTAGGTTTCATCTCTATTTATTTATTTCTTCACTTTTTACTAATTTTTTTCAAAATCAGTTTGTGGTTTAAATAACATCTAATTTTCAATCTTTAATTTTGTTAAAAATCATACACAGATTATTAATTCTTTATTTGTATGATATGGTGTATATAATTCTTTCTAAATTTAGTGCAGTGTATCAATACAAAATTGGATGTACCATTTAGCTTCTTCAAAATTATCAATCTTTCACTAGACCATAACAACCGTTTGGTAAGTTATATAATAATTTCTTTTTTCACATTTGTATAAATGTTTTATTAATATACCGCTTATATTTTTTTTTCATCTATGTAGATGCTTCCTTCATCTTTTGTTAATTATTGGAGACACGAACCAGGTGGTACAGTATAATTAATTTCATATGATGATTTAATTGTCACATTACAGTTAGAAAGAATCGACGGAGAAATATATCTAGCTAATGGATGTGAGCAATTTTTCGACCATCTTAACTTACAAGATAATTATGTCGTAGTATTTGAATAAAACAGAAATTTCACACTCAATATGAGGATATTTGATCATTCTAGATCAGATGTTACATATGGCTCCGATGTTGAAGAAGACAAGAACGCTTTACATATGAATAATCCTGCATTCGAAATAACACTAACACTCAATCACAACAAGCATCCAGAAATTATAGGTGTCATCTTTAATACCTCATTCTATATTTACCTCTTCCAAATATTTTTAATCTTAACATCAATAAATCATTCATCCATATTTTTCAATCTATAACATCAAGTTTTGCAAGATACCATCTGCCAAGACATATGCGGAATGTTCGAATCCACGACTCTTTACATCACAACTAGGATATCACCGCAAATTTAAGATCAAATGGCGTAATGCGCTGTCTCACTATAGTTTGGGCAGATTTTCAAGCGAAAAAAGAACTACAAATCGGCGATAGATGTGTATTTGAACAATTAAATAGCGAATCTCCAATGTTTATGGCCTACAAAAAAAAAAGAAAAGAACAAAACGATGGAACTCTAACACGTCTGTGAAACTTTTTTATTTATAACTATATTCGCCATCTAAATAAATAATTTTTAATTTTTATGTTTATCCATTTCGCTTTCACCACAGTTAACTATCTCTGAAAGATTTTTTTAAGAAATTACACTTTTTCCCATTTTTACAATTCAAACAAACTACAATATTTCGCCACCCCAATAACATTCATATCTTGTATATATCAAATACATATATAGTTACACCAATAATATATATACATAGTTACACTGATATGTTTGTCGAAACAACCACGACATTCTTATATTTCATATTCACCCAGCTAACGTGCAACGCATGTTGCCTCACTAGTAACCATTAAAATTTTAAATAATGGGGGCCAAACGGGCGCTTAAAGTGTTTGATAGATCAACATGGTGATTGATTGATTGTATTATTAACAAGTTGTGGACTCTTCGATAATCAAATATCTCTCTCTTACCTAATAAAAATGGAGCCCTCGAGTATAGTGAAATTGAACTTCGCCTCTTCATCGTGGATCGTCGGCCACTAGTTCTTCAATCAACACACCAAATCCGTAGGTCCTTTGCACTCTTGCCATGTATCCATCATCCATGTTGGCTCTTACACCAATGAGCTCCTAGAAATCACCGTAAGTTGTCTCATTTTGGGAATTTACAAATAATTAAGTATGCATTGTTTTGTAGATGTATTGTGTATGTGTTGTATGTAGAGTAAATTTAATGAATGCTCATTGAACTTTAGCATTGCTGCTACTTACTCACTTATTTTCATTTTCAAAAGGTTATCCAATATTCACCCATTCCTTCATATAATTATTCATCGACAACTCATCTAACTTGTATATCTTCAAATGCACTGAAAGTACACCTTCTGAATTTCTCTTTAACTGGAAGTTTTTGATGTTTTCGGGAATAATTTCTCATAGATGAATGGGTTGTTGGAATTCTTTTCAAAGTTTGGGAGTATTGAATGGCTTGAAGTTCTAGATCTGCACAATCTCAAACTTAGTGGTGAAATCCCTGTAGAGATAAGCAATTGTCGGTTTCTTCTCGAACTATGAGTTCAATAACCATCTCCTATTCTTCATGTTCATATCAACGTTTTTAACAATTGAACTGATGGAACTATATATATATTATGGAGGGATGTTTCTAGCAATTATTTAGCAAGAGCCATCCATAGAAGATGCTTTTTGGAACTACATGCATTCGTGTAATTGGAACTCAGGCCAAGATCCCCTTCAGAAGTTTCTCTAGAGTTTGTACAATCACAAGAAAAGTCTAATTCCAAGGGCAAATTGTATTCCTCCATTTAAGATTTTTTTTGGCCATCATATGCCAATAAGTAGACAACTTTCCATTCTTCTTCACTACGGACTCTAGAAAAATTACCCAGTGGTCTCTTTGCCCAGTCTCCATCAACAGATGCTGGATGGTTTTGTTGTTTCCGGAGTTTGAAGTTACTCCTTCGAAAACAATTCGACAGAATCATCTGAATGTAAGAATTGATCAACAGGATCCAAAATTGTAATTCGAGCCCACCGACTTCACGATGTTTCCTTAAAACGAATTTGCTGCCTTCAATGGTGCTAAAGGCGTCCAGCAATCGTTTCCCAGAATAGAACAAATTTTCGTCTCCTACGGAAGCAGCACTGCAGTCTGCAGGAGTTCCAACGAACTCAACGAAGTGCATTTTATTTCGAGACAATATCAGAACGAGAGAGAGGAAAATGAGATTCAAAGCACAGAAAGTTTGCAATCGGAACGAGAGAGAGGAAAATGAGATTCAAAGCACAGAAAGTTTGCAATGAAAATGGTGTGAATTTTCTGGTAGAAAGGCTGGCTATTTATAGACTTGTTCATGGTCGTTCGAACAGTCATCACCTTTCAGACAAGTCTCAAAAATTCAAACAGGCATGTTGTTCTTAAAAGTCGTATCTGTTAAGTCGGTTAACAGTCGGCTAATAGTCGACTGTTTGGTCGGTAAACAGTTGAAACAGTCGACTGTTAAAAGAAAATAAAACACCCGAAATAAGCCAAAATTTAAATTTCATATTGTATCCAAGAATTTGATTATTTACAATTTGGCCCAAAACCTTAAATAAATTTTGTCCAAAAAGTTAATATAGTGTAAAGGTCCACTCGCACCCGAACCGGATCGGACTCGGACACGTGCTCGTACTGAGCCGGTCGGACGGACGGCGGCGGCGGCGCGCGCGTGTGGATTTATGATCGAACTCAATAGGATATAGGTCTTCCCCCTTCCAAAGACTATTGGTACCCCTTGGGGCCCAAACCCAATTCCAAACTTCCACCTTGTAAACCACACCAAAATTTCCTAACTTTCCTATGTGGGATAAGTGTTTGGAAATCAAATTCTTCCATAATCTTTAGTTTATGTGGGTTACTTTAACACTTAATATTTCATTAAATTTTAAATGGTTTTCGATAAATAAATATATCACGTTAATCATCTCGCGGAGTAGAACGTGAATATGCTAGGTCTCGTATTAATTAAAAGGTGGGTCCCACTAAAATTTGGGCTCAAAGTTGACCCATTAACCATTTTTTTTCCAACAGGTTTTTTAAAATTTGGGGCATTTCTTCTGGAACATTGGATACAAGATTTAGGTATGCTATAAATTGCTTATTTTCAACTTGTGAATTTCTATTTTTGCCACGTATGGATTTTTGTGTTTATTTTCCGTCCATTTGAAGAGATGGAAGGTAGATGAGTAGTAGATGGGTAACCATATGGAAAGATGAGTGAGTATTCAGTAATTCTTTAAAGATGAATAAGTAAGTAGTAACAGTACTGAAGTTCAACAAGTGTTAGTTAAATTTACTCTTGGATGAACATCTGCATTTATGTACCTTTTGATTTATTGAATTGTAATGTAATGGTTTGACTTTGTCGATTTGTCGTCAGATATTCAGTTCTTCAGTTCATGGAATTATATTTCAAATTCAATTGTATAATTTTATAAAGTTATCAACTTTCTCTAGGTACTTTCTTCTGCAGGTTATGTAATTGTTTTCACTTTTTGATCTTCACCAAGTCAAACTAAGACGTCCAGTTTGGGTTGATGGGAATATTTGTGTTCATGTATGATTTATTGATGTATTTGGCATGTTAGAATTTTTTTGGGAAAAGTATGTTTTTCTATCATTAGATGATAAGGAAGCTTTTGTTATAACTCTAACTCTGTGATAAGGTAAGTTGTGGTAATATGACATAATTTTTGTTGATATATGTGCTGATTGATTGATAGAAAGAGTTCGTTATTCATTTTTTACCCGTAAGTCTTCTTTTCTTTTTCATTTTTTATTTACTGATTTAAATCGATTAACCAAGATTTGAAATAGTTAATATGTAGGCTCTTGGAATTTGGAAGCATGAATCATCTATAGCTATATTTTTCGAGTTTTATATGATTTGGAATTTAAAATCCAAACTAGATATAAAAGTGAAAAGGTTTTGAAGTTGAGATTACTTATCTAGTATAGTATAAAAGATTTTGTTCTCATCAACATAAGAGATTTTGTCTCCTTCCTATATGTAGAATATGCAAGCTTATATAAGCCCACCCAAGCATGCTTTATAGTAACTGTAAGCTGGGAAATGCTAGGTAGTTTATACTGCAAATATTTTTGCTTCTCGATTCTCATTAATTCTGTTGCCAAAGCTTTTTCTGATTTGTTCTTTTTGGGAACAGAAATCAATTGCATCTCCAGGTCATGGTATCCTTGCCATTGATGAATTAAATGCAACATGTGAAAAGAGGTTGGCATCCATTATACTTGACGACAAAGAAACAAACATACAAGCATATAGACAATTGCTGCGACCACTCCTGCCCTTGGTGACTATATATCTGGCGCCATTCTCTTTGATGAGAATCTTTACTAGTCAACTATAGATGGAAAGAATTTTGTAGGCTGTTTGTGAGATGAGAATATTGTAGCCGGTGTTGAAGTTGATAGGGTAAGCTAGTTATTATTTCAATCTGATTCTCTTCGATGAAATTTGTTTTAAAGATCACCAAATCATCTGAGATTTTGTGGTTAGGCTGCTATTTCATACAATACCTCTATTTTGTTGTTTTGTTTTGTTTTTTCTTTTTCTTTTGACTAGGTTTGGTTCTGTTACAGGATCCAACAGTAAATCTTGGTGCCAGGGGCTAAATGGATTGGCTTCTAGATCCGCTGAATACTATAAGCAAGGGACTTGTTTTGCTAAATGGTGTGTTGTTTTCGTTTAAACATGTTGTTTCCTTTTAAGGAAGAAAAACAAATGGTGCGTCGACCTTTTTCCTTTTGCATTCTGATATTTCAGGAGAACTATTGTTAGCATAGCCTTTCTACTTTGGTTGTTAAAAAAGCAGCATGGGGTCTTGCTCATTGTGTTGCCATTTCTCAAGCACCTATCCCAATTCCATTATATTCACTAAATTTCTCTTTTCAGCGTGCTTCTCTTGTTTTTGTGCACTGCATCCAGGTGACCATTCTTAAAAACCAAACGAACGAGATAGATATTTAACTTTCTATTGGTGGTGAAAATAATAAGATGTATTATGATTGCTTGGCAGGACAATTGGCTCTTGCCTATTGTGGAACTTGAAATCCTTCTGGATGCAGACCATCGAATTGAGAGGACACTTTGAAGTACCAGAGCGGGTGTGGTCAGAGGTGTTCTACTACTTAGCACAGAACAATGATGTCTTTGAAGGCATTCTACTAAAACCTTGCATGGTAACTCCAGGTGCTGACCACAAAGAAAAGTTTCTCCAGAGACCATTGCCAAGTATACACTCACCATGCTAAAAAGGAGTATGCCTCCGACAGTTCCAAGAATCATGGTATATATCTTGGACCCTCTATCAATTAAGTTAATTCTCCGAATTTTAAACCTTCGTGTTCCAAGGGACCAAGTGTGTAGCCTCTGAAGTTTGGTAGGCTAAAATTATGCACTAGTATATTGAGGTCAAAACTTAAGAAAGGGTGTTTCAAGCTCCGTAATTAGAGGTCCTCAATAAACATCACACATAGAAATGAAAAAAAAAAAATTGTTGCACCCAAATTTAACCTATATGCCAAATGGCGATCTTTTAACAAGTTGATGTGTTGAACTGAACTATCCTGCTTTTTTTTTCATAAATTAAACAGTTTCATGAGAAAAGAATATGAACAACATGAACTGAATACTTGCATCATGAATGCTTTTTAGCCTTACAATCATATAGTAAATGCTTTGGTCGTTATTTGAGTGTTCCAATCCATGGCACGCTCTTTCCACTATGCATGAGCACTACAGAACACAGTGCTTAAGACATGGCAAGGATGTGCAGAGAACTTAGAAGCTGCACAAAAATCACTTTTGGTGTGTGCAAAGGCGTCCTTGGCACAGCTTGATAAGTACTGAGCTGAAGGGGAGAGCGAGGAGGCTAGGAAAGGAATGTTTGTTAAGGGCTACACAAAACTACGTGCTAGGTTCACTCAAAAGTCAACTCATATAGTCGTGTAATTTTGATTAGTTCTTAGTTCTCTCTTGCTAGCTTTGTATGTCGAGGTGACAATGGAAAATCTCGTTGCTCTACTATTTCCATGTTTAGTACAATGCGGTTTAATAATAATAAGATGTGATAAGGATTTATCTGACTTTTGAAGCAAATTTAGTGATAAGTTAGATACTAGTAGATCATCTTGATGTAGTTAATTTTCAAAGATTTGGATAATAAGATGCTTTCAAAGGCGATCTTGACAAGGAGAACCGAAATTGTTTGAACTATTGTAATTGCATTTAGAATTGAACTATTTTGTCCAAAAAAAATTGACAAAATGCTTGACATACTTTCACATGGGTTGGGACCCATATGAATTATAAAAGACAAAACATTCTCCCACGACCCATATGACACTCTCTCTAGCAGTCTAGCAAGATTGTTGCGTTTATATTGAAAACTTATTGTGGTTGCTATTTTGGTAGTGATATTTGACCCATTTATCAACTTACTGCATTAGCTGCCTAGCATCATTTAGAAGCCTATAGGTGCATATTTAGATATTTAGTATGCAGTATTAGACCAAACTCCACAATTTAATATACAAGCTTTTAGTTTTTTTTTGCCTCATCAATAAAAGGCCAAAGCCATGTTATGAAGCCAGGAAAGATCATACACTCCTCTGCTTATTTTAAATTTACAAATTCAGAATATAAATATGATATTAGAACATTTCAAATAGACTTTCACATATATAGAAAATGTTCTTAATACTTAAAAATATGTTTACAGATATTCTATTTTAACTTTTAAAAAGTAGAGACTCAGTTTTACACTTCAAATTTTAGAGTCAAAAAGCAACCTTGTATTCTTAATTTACAATGAATTCATTTAATAAGTTACATTTTTAAATACTTTACTTCTTAAATTATTCAAATTACATTTAAATGGATTTGCTCTTTACATATAAATAAGAGATAGATAAGGAATCAATAAATGTTCCTTGAAAAAGCAAAATAATGAGTAGTGCTAAATTGTATGAATAAATTTGAGTAAAAATATTTTCAAGAGACTCTTTATTTTTAAATAACATATTCTATTATTTGAAAAGTATCTATAAATTTAGAGAGTGAAAATTTTAAAGTGTTCCAACAAACTTTTTATATTTAATACACAATTTTACCACTCCCAAAAAATATTTATTATTTTTTCTATCTTTTATTTTAACTAGCTTTTTTCTAAATTATTTTATCATTTTTCTACATTGAAAATTGAAACACTTTGAATGCATTTTATTATAGAGATGATTTTAAGAGTTGACTATTTAAAATAGAGAACATTTTTTTTTTAAAATGTCTATTGAAGATGCTATAATACTATTTAGCACCTTGGGTATTGCACAATTTGTTTAGGTGACACTCGGTAATATGAAATTAGAGATAAAATTAAATGAGTCACATAATTTTATTCATTTAATTTTATCTCTCTTTGAGCCTTATTACCTAGTGCAATTTAGATTTGTATTTTAGCACCAATGATGTTGGATATGATTATTTCAAAAATTAAATCTCTAAATTTAAAGATGTTATCTATTATGTTCAATATGCTCTTTATAAATTGAGAGATTCTTAAAGATGCTCTTAGAATGTTACTCTGTAAAATGGATACACCTGCCTTCTTTCAAAAATGGTACAATGAGGTTGATACATCGTAGACAAAATGAAAAAGAATTCATTCAATTTTATTTTTTACTTAATTTATTTCTTTTATTTTTGCCAAAAGTATAAATAATTTAAGTTTATATTTTTGAGCTCGAAATTTGAGGAGTCATGCTGAAATTCGATAAGAGATCGGGTATGATATTTATGGGCTTAAAGCCAGTAAAATATATTACGAAATCTTTCTAATTAATCTTAGAAATCCAAAAGCTACTAGGGATAACTAAATTTTAATAGAATTTATTGGAATTTGAGGTGTAGACACTTAAATTTTAATGTGATTTATTAAAATTTGAGTTATGACACAAACTTTTAGTCCCGACTTTTGGCGCCCCTATTTTTAAACCTGTCCCCGAGCCGGGATAGGGAGCAAGGTTCTTTAGTTGATGATAAATGGCATCCTTAATAATTGTTTAATAGAATTGGACAATAGAATTCAAGTACCTATTCTCAAGCTTGGTAAAGCTCAATAACTTTGGAAAAGTTACCATAATTGTAATTTTTTTCTTATAAAATAACTAGGTTAAAATCATTATAATTTGCTGAACCCTTTTTTGAAGGAAGCGTTTAAAAAAAAAAATCAAAATTTTTAATTTTCATCTAAAAACAGTGCATGACTAAGTTATCTTTCTTTATACTTGTCCAAATAAATTAATTTTTTTAATTTTTTATTTTTATCCTGACAATGAGACGGAGGAGCCATATTGTTTAAATTTATAGATTTTTGTGATTCCTCTTATTTTATTTTCAGATAGAGAAAAGGAAAAAAAAAAAAAACAGCTGTCCTCGAAATGTGACAGTGATAATATAATTTATTAGACATAATGTTAGGGAAAATTGGAATCTGACCATACTGAATTTGAGACATCTTAGGAAGGTCCGTTCTTTCTTGTCCTCAATTCTCATTAAAATTGTTACTCTTTTTTGTATTATAAATTTTGCTGGTCAACATCAAAATTGTGATTTTTTATTTTATTATTATTTTTTTAATCATAGAACCATACCAGTTTATTAAACCAGTTTATTAAAATTGAAACTTTGAAAATTCAGATTTCGTTGACAACGCAATACTCGACTTAAATATACAAATCTGTACTCGAGAAATACTTGCTTGAATTAGTAAAATACAACCACATTCCACAACCATAACCTCTACAAAATTTTATCTAAAGATGTTCTTTCATAATTATTTTTTGCATTAATTTTTTTTATTTTTTTTCATGAAAGTCATTTTCAAGTGCATGGTGTAACAATTAATCTAGCTTTATCTAAGTTGAACAAAGCTGAGCGTCCACGAGCAATTCAGTTTACTCTCAACCATCCATAAACTTTTTCACTTTCGTTCTATTGTACTTTTACTCTATCCGACAACATTTATCAAGTGACGTTCGTTATGAAACTCCAGGGAGATGAATTCAACAAAGTAATGACACACATCTGTCATTACCTTTGTTGGGGTGTTTCCAACTATTATTGTCCTAATCACAGCTTGCAAGTTGCAACATTTTTTTGTCACATTTTTCAACTTAAATTGACACTGAAGTTTAAGGGACCCCTAAGTCCATGGATCTATGGCAGGGGGGATGTCCTAATTGATAACTTCCATAATTTCTTTGACCCTTTAATTTATCTAAGACAAGTGCATTTGGATCTTCGATTTGTAATTTACACTCTGTTTGAGCCAACTTTTTGGAACATAAAAATTAATTTTTTTACTGTTACATCTCTCTTCAAGCCACAATTGTTAAACGGTTGTGTCATGTGTGAGACTCAGATTCTATTCCTACGGTCAACTTTTTTATGAAAATGATTTGAAAAATATGGTACAAACATACTCTTATCTAGTTCATTTAAAATAATGAAGAGATTTTGGGTCAAATCTCAACATGTGGGGTTGGAAACATAGTCAAGTGGAAACCCTACTTAGGTTGGATGTTCCTCTATTATTGATTATTTTTTCTTAAAGCCTACACATCCCTTTTGTTAGGCATTTATGGTTTAGTACTTTTTAAGGATCTTGGAGGCTTAAATGTGGACAACTTTCACTTGAGGTCCCTCGATTTCATCACCTTTAATTTGTCACAATTTATATTTTTGTTCTAGCGTTATTATTATTACATTTCTTTTTTTAAGTTGAACGGTCTTGTTAAACTGATAAAATTCTCATGACTAATGAAAAACTTTTAATTTATATGCTATTCATCATTGAACTCTGCTATGCTGACAGACTTTTTTGACAGATTTTTGAATAGAGAGCCTATTTGAGCGCCTTTTTCCATTCATCATTTGTGAAAAAAAAAAAAAAAACTTACACCGTTTAAACAAAATGAGTTGAATTCACCAATGGCCCACATTAAGTATGAAGGTTGATCATAATGAAATAAAATCAAATTGGATGGTTAATGTGGTACTAATTATAAAATTGAGTGGCTATTGGTGAATTTAGCACAAAAGATAAACATTTGGCAACACGACTTTTAGCACTTGAAAAATTTGTATAAGCTTTTTCATGAATTTTCACAATATTTTTTTCAGTTTTGATAAAAGTTATGATAATTTATAAAACCAATCAAATTTTTGTTATAAGAAACATAAAATTACAAGTGCAGACATAACATAATTGAAAATTCCAGTTGGTCCCAAAAACCATATGACTGCCTGATATTTGGTCGTAAATATAGGAGGTATGAATTAATAAACTTACGAATAAATTTGTCTTATGCTATATGTAAATACTTCCTTTTATAAATTTTTAAATATATCTCATAGTTTAAAATTAATTTTTAGGTTTTCATTGAAAATCAACATTTTTTACGAATTACATGTTAGAGTAACATATGTGTTATTATGTTTAGAGTGTCATTAAAATAGTTTAATTTTTTTTATTAAAAAATAAAATATATTTTTAAAGGTTACATATACTGTGTATTTTGGATAAACAATCAGCAGTCGTCGTCACCACCACTACTATCGGAGTCACGATCGAAATCAAGCTCTCAAGTACTACCATCATCTTCCAAATTTCGCATCAATATTGGGGCAACACATGTATTACTTGTAAGATAATACACATACTACTGCTACCATAACTCGACATATCCTAGTATAAAAAATTTGAACACCATCAATATGCACATTCTACTGTCGCCGCCAAATTCGAAATGAAGCTCCCAAACACTAACACCACCTATAAAATCTCACCAATATCGCCATTAACATTAAGGTAGCGCATTTATTATTTGTAGGGTAACCATTGCCATAAATCTCTATTCTCACAAAAGAAAATAAAATCAAAACATCGCCAATTTTCACCTTCTACCGCTGGCTATGAAGTCATCACCATCGGAATCAAGCTTCATACACTACCACCATCTTCCAAATCTAATAAACACCATCATCAACAGAAATTTGAAAAAATAATCACCATTTTAGGTAATCTTAAAACATTTCAAATACTACGAGCTCTTCTTCTGGATATTTATGCTTCAAACATTACCCACGTATTTTCTTTACTATTGCAAAGAGGGCAATCAGAAAAAAAAAGGCAGGAGGACGAGACCTGCTTGGACCTCCTATAGGTACGGTCTAGTCTAGTGCTTGTTTGGTAGGAATTTTGATAATTGATTTTTTGACCGTCAGAGATAAAGTTGATTTTACCAGTGAGAGAAGAATTAAAAAATGACGGTTGGAGTAGTGAAATAACGGTCAAAAAATTGATTTTTATTGACTTAATATTTGTACCAAACAAACTCCTAATCTGACCATCAATGGTGTTCGACAGCCCAGCTAGAAAGTGGAAGAAATGATAAGTTTTTCAACCTAATAACAATGACGACAATGACAATAACTGGAATAATACACCTTCGGTTCTCTTCTATTGGTGGATACTTTCACATCTATAGATCCAAATAAGGATGTTTGACAACGACAACACACGGAAGCAAGGAAAGCAAAGCTGTAATGGGAGAGAAAATTTTAATTTTTGTTATAATGGATGCAGGGTAAAAATTAAATAATAAAAAATTGGGTATATTTGCACTTTTTTGAAGAAAAATGAAGTATGTGGTGAACTTAATGCAATTTAGCCCTCGTTTGAACCCCATTTTTCATTTATTAAAATCTATTATTTAATTGTGATCTAACATCATTTTCATCACACATTTTTCAATAAAATAGTATTACATGCATACCCAAAATTTTTCTTACTTTTTAACCACATATTCTCCATCGTAACACTATTTCAAAATGCATTTTTGAAAAAAAATGGGGCTCTAATAACTCCTTATTATTGTGGGCAGATAATAGCCTACTCAGCTTCAAATTTTGTCGACATATCATTCTAATTAAACTAAGGTCGGATCAAAATTACGAGTTTAGTTAGATTTCAGCTAAACTTCATTGATATTGGATCTAGAAATTGAGAACCAGACGCTTAGTCATTTTAATTTTAGCGATATGCTATTGAGAAATGGATGGTATTCGTGGATTCTAAAAAAATTATAGATAAAAAATGATTGGACCAAAAATATTTTTTTGACCCTAATAATTGTAAAAGCACGTAAACAATGAGTCAAATTGTGCATTTAGAGGGTGTTTGGGAGACATTGTTATGTAAAAATTCATTTTTGAATAGTAAATTGATGAAAAATGCGTGGTTGAAAAATAATGAAAAGTTTTTTATTTACGTATAATATTATTTTAATAAAGAATGTGTGGTTAAAAAAAAAGAGAAAAATGCATTTTAAAAAAAATGGGTACCAAACGGGACTTTAGTATCAATTGCTTATGTAATCACTTCCCTAACATTTATTCTTATAATAGTCCACCAAAAGTAAAATCTGTCCAAAATGACCTATATTAAACAATCGCGCTATAAAACGTTTACATACAAGTATACAATACTTGGCATGCATTCATTAGAAGATGAAAAAAAAAAGTGAATCATATTTTGACGCGTCAACTTCGATAACAAATTTGTCAAAAATTTCTTATACTTGGGGCTTTTTCCCATATTAAAACACGTGAATAGGGACACCATTTCACAAGTATTAATAAATAATTCAAAATAATAATAATAATAATAATAATAATAATAATAATAATAATAATAATAATAATAATTGTACTATTTTCTTTTTCCTTGTATATCGAACCAAAAAATTGATCTCCCATCTCCCTAGAATCCATGTGAATTGAAGCTATTCCCCATACATCTTTTATATTTCAAAATTGGTATAATTTCGCCATTCTTGCTAAAATTTTATGGACGAAGCAATCATTCCATGCATAAAAGGGTTTATATTAGCACAATTACGAATGACTAAATTCTCTGCCTCTTTTCCGTTTGTATATTTTTCACGAAAAATATTTAAACGACATAGAAAATAAGAATTGTTTCATCCCGCCTCACCTTGTTCTAGCTCCAATTCCTGAAATATGTATAGCAGCCACCTCACTCCGTCCCACCTATCCCCACCTCGTTTCAATCACTGAGCACATTGTATGTATGCAAATTACCGCTAAGGATGAATGATCTCTTCCTTGTTATAAAAAAGTATAATAGTATTTTTAAGTACTTATAAATTGCAAATTTTATGAAATATCAAGATAATATGTATATTAAGTTGGGAATCTAAAAAAATATGTGAATAGAACATATATTCGACTATTTTAACTTAAGATTTACCAAATATGTTAAGGTGCAAGGAGAAAATTTAAGAGTAATTTTTCTAAAAAAATGAAAAAGAAAAAGAATACAAGAAAAAAATGATTTTAACTTTTAAAGTGGAGTCTCAATTGAAAAAAAGAAAGAAAGAAAACATATATGTTCCCAATAGTGTCAATAAAAAATCCGAATTTAATTTTTATTACAACAAAAGTTCTCTCTCTACAATTGTCAAGTTGAACTTCAAAGCCCACCCCCTCAAATCTTGAAAATCTCTCCTCACTCTCCCTTGTTCTTGATGCTCACTGTAAATTCACATTTATAGAGGCTCATATAAGCACATGCGCATATATCAGTACAGGAAGAGAGTTTGTGCGTGTGTGAGAGAAATGTCCTTTTTAGTTTCAGTCTTTCAGGTTTCAGCCATTATTTTCTCTTCAAATCTCTTTAACTCTCTCTTCTTTTGTACTCTTCATCAACCCTTCTTCCTCTATATTTAATTTGACGGTTGAGATTGCTTAGTCGTTTAATCGTGTGACTGGGGATTGATTTTCAGCCTTTCTTCACGTAAGTGAACTGAAAAATTAAGTGCATTTTGCCTTTAACCATTCTATAATTAATCGGATGTGTAAGTATGTGTATGCCTACACACCTCTAAGCACAAATGCGGATTCGTATACTTGCAGCTCTCTTTCTTCTCTCTCTGCATTTCTGTAAATAGTGGTCTAAATCTGTAATTATTCGCATGCACTGTTCATAATTTTGGCGTGTTTATGAGATGAAATCTGGGTCAGCGTTATTCGTACATAATTATCGTTTTCTGGGCCTTATTTGAATATTTCATTTGAAGTTTCACCCGTTGTTTTATTGGGTTTTGATTGCATGCATTGCAATTTTTTCGATTTTTTACTGGGTTTTGTTAAATGTGGGGATTGACAGTGACCTCAGTCTTTTCCTTTTCTTTTAATCATTTGTTGTGAAGTTGGTTAATTTTACCCAGAGTTTTGTTACTTCAGTATGCTGTATTCTACACTGTTTTTACTGTTCAGCATCCACACAAGGCAAATAAGGATTTATAAAAGGTGGGATGGTTTTAAAATACTGAATCATATTGTCATTTTTACATGTTATGCCTAAAAATTTTGAAGAATTGGATTACTTTACTTGTTTTGGCCATTTTGGACAGCTGTTCGATTGACTTTTACTGTTCAGCACATATTTTCTTTTGTTTGAGAATTTTATATGTCCTTCGGCATTTGATTCTGTACTGGTAGCATTTTAAGGGAGTTCCATCATTTTGGGGTTTAAATTTGATGCTAGCTGTGGATCTTTCCCTTTGTTGTAAGTAATGAATACAAGGTAAATGATGGTAATTTTAGCAAGATTATTCTAGCTCTTGAAATTTAGTGCTAAGTTGTTATATTCGGTAAAAGGGTGTCAAATAGATGTTGAAAAATCTGGCCTTAAATTTTTGCCCATTGCTGTAACATTTATTAATAAGTTTTGATTTGTTCTAGTACCTCTTCGCTATGTTTAAATTATTTGCTTGATATTATGTTTTGTAATTAAGTTGAGAGAGAGATGAGGGGCTCCCCCCCTCCCAGAGGAGATTAGAAAAGAGGGATATACCAAAATTAACATGGTATAGTTGCATGTTTTGCTAAGCTTAAAAGCTGTCCCTCTTATTTGCAACTTATCCAAAAAAGGTGTTAGTTTGTTGTTGTTGGGATGGTTGGGGGACTGTAGTTGAACATAACTAGTTTGTGTCCTTATCTATTCTTTAAATTTTAGATTTGATTTGGATGCAAAGACGGATTGTTGTCATATTAACTTGTAATGGTGGTGAGTTACGAATTTAATTGTGGGGAAGAATGTCATGATGGTAGTGAAGATTCTATGCCATCAACTGTCAAGGCATTCTACTAAAACCTTGCATGGTAACTCCAGGTGCTGACCACAAAGAAAAGTTTCTCCAGAGACCCTTGCCAAGTATACACTCACCATGCTAAAAAGGAGTATGCCTCCGACAGTTCCAAGAATCATGGTATATATCTTGGACCCTCTATCAATTAAGTTAATTCTCCGAATTTTAAACCTTAGTGTTCCAAGGGACCAAGTGTGTAGCCTCTGAAGTTTGGTAGGCTAAAATTATGCACTAGTATATTGAGGTCAAAACTTAAGAAAGGGTGTTTCAAGCTCCGTAATTAGAGGTCCTCAATAAACATCACACATAGAAATGAAAAAAAAAAAATTGTTGCACCCAAATTTAACCTATATGCCAAATGGCGATCTTTTAACAAGTTGATGTGTTGAACTGAACTATCCTGCTTTTTTTTTCATAAATTAAACAGTTTCATGAGAAAAGAATATGAACAACATGAACTGAATACTTGCATCATGAATGCTTTTTAGCCTTACAATCATATAGTAAATGCTTTGGTCGTTATTTGAGTGTTCCAATCCATGGCACGCTCTTTCCACTATGCATGAGCACTACAGAACACAGTGCTTAAGACATGGCAAGGATGTGCAGAGAACTTAGAAGCTGCACAAAAATCACTTTTGGTGTGTGCAAAGGCGTCCTTGGCACAGCTTGATAAGTACTGAGCTGAAGGGGAGAGCGAGGAGGCTAGGAAAGGAATGTTTGTTAAGGGCTACACAAAACTACGTGCTAGGTTCACTCAAAAGTCAACTCATATAGTCGTGTAATTTTGATTAGTTCTTAGTTCTCTCTTGCTAGCTTTGTATGTCGAGGTGACAATGGAAAATCTCGTTGCTCTACTATTTCCATGTTTAGTACAATGCGGTTTAATAATAATAAGATGTGATAAGGATTTATCTGACTTTTGACGCAAATTTAGTGATAAGTTAGATGCTAGTAGATCATCTTGATGTAGTTAATTTTCAAAGATTTGGATAATAAGATGCTTTCAAAGGCGATCTTGACAAGGAGAACCGAAATTGTTTGAACTATTGTAATTGCATTTAGAATTGAACTATTTTGTCCAAAAAAAATTGACAAAATGCTTGACATACTTTCACATGGGTTGGGACCCATATGAATTATAAAAGACAAAACATTCTCCCACGACCCATATGACACTCTCTCTAGCAGCCTAGCAAGATTGTTGCGTTTATATTGAAAACTTATTGTGGTTGCTATTTTGGTAGTGATATTTGACCCATTTATCAACTTACTGCATTAGCTGCCTAGCATCATTTAGAAGCCTATAGGTACATATTTAGATATTGAGTATGCAGTATTAGACCAAACTCCACAATTTAATATACAAGCTTTATTTTTTTTTTTTGCCTCATCAATAAAAGGCCAAAGCCATGTTATGAAGCCAAGAATCATACACTCCTCTGCTTATTTTAAATTTACAAATTGAGAATATAAATATGATATTAGAACATTTCAAATAGACTTTCACATAAATAGAAAATGTTCTTAATACTTAAAAATATGTTTACAGATATTCTATTTTAACTTTTAAAAAGTAGAGACTCAGTTTTACACTTCAAATTTTAGAGTCAAAAAGCAACCTTATATTCTTAATTTACAATGAATTCATTTAATAAGTTACATTTTTAAATACTTTACTTCTTAAATTATTCAAATTACATTTAAATGGATTTGCTCTTTACATATAAATAAGAGATAGATAAGGAATCAATAAATGTTCCTTGAAAAAGCAAAATAATGAGTAGTGCTAAATTGTATGAATAAATTTGAGTAAAAATATTTTCAAGAGACTCTTTATTTTTAAATAACATATTCTATTATTTGAAAAGTATCTATAAATTTAGAGAGTGAAAATTTTAAAGTGTTCCAACAAACTTTTTATATTTAATACACAATTTTACCACTCCCAAAAAATATTTATTATTTTTTGTATCTTTTATTTTAACTAGCTTTTTTCTAAATTATTTTATCATTTTTCTACATTGAAAATTGAAACACTTTGAATGCATTTTATTATAGAGATGATTTTAAGAGTTGACTATTTAAAATAGAGAACATTTTATTTTTAAAATGTCTATTGAAATGCTATAATACTATTTAGCACCTTGGGTATAGCACAATTTGTTTAGGTGACACTCGGTAATATTAAATTGGAGATAAAATTAAATGAGTCACATAATTTTATTCATTTAATTATATCTCTCTTTTAGCATTATTACCTAGTGCAATTTAGATTTGTTTTATAGCACCAATGATGCTGGATAGGATTACTCCAAAAATTAATTCTATAAATTTAAAGATGTTCTCTATTATATGCACAACATGTTCTTTATAAATTGAGAGTTTTTTTAAAGATGCTCTTAGAATGTTATTCTGTAAAATGGATACATCTGCCTTCTTTTAAAAATGGTACAATGAGGTTGATACATCGTAGACAAAATGAAAAAGAATTCATTCAATTTTATTTTTTACTTAATTTATTTCTTTTATTTTTACCAAAAGTATAAATAATTTAAGTTTATATTTGTGAGCTCGAAATTTGAGGAGTCATGCTGAAATTCGGTAAGAGATGGGGTATGATATTTATGGGCTTAAAGCCAGTAAAATATATTACGAAATCTTTCAAATTAATCTTAGAAATCCAAAAGCTACTAAAGATAACTAAATTTTAATAGAATTTATTGGAGTTTGAGGTGTAGACACTTAAATTTTAATGTGATATATTAAAATTTGAGTTATGACACAAACTTTTAGTCCCGACTTCTGGCGCCCCTATTTTTAAACCTGTCCCCGAGCCGGGATAGGGAGCAAGGTTCTTTAGTTGATGATAAATGGCATCCTTAATAATTGTTTAATAGAATTGGACAATAGAATTCAAGTACCTATTCTCAAGCTTGGTAAAGCTCAATAACTTTGGAAAAGTTACCATCATTGTAATTTTTTTCTTATAAAATAACTAAGTTAAAATCATTATAATTTTCTGAACCCATTTTTGACGGAAGCGTTTAAAAAAAAAAAAAGTCAAAATTTTTAATTTTCATCTAAAAACAGTGCATGACTAAGTTATCTTTCTTTATACTTGTTCAAATAAATTAATTTTTTTAATTTTTTATTTCTAGCCTGACAGTGAGACGGAGGAGCCATATTGTTTAAATTTATAGATTTTTGTGATTCCTTTTATTTTATTTTCAGATAGAGAAAAGGAAAAAAAAAAAAAAAAACAGCTGTCCTCGAAATGTGACAGTGATAATATAATTTATTAGTCATAATGTTAGGGAAAATTGGAATCTGACCATACTGAATTTGAGACATCTTAGGAAGGTCCGTTCTTTCTTGTCCTCAATTCTCATTAAAATTGTTACTCTTTTTTGTATTATAAATTTTGCTGGTCAACATCAAAATTGTGATTTTTATTTTTATTTTTTTTAATCATAGAACCATACCATTTTATTAAACCAGTTTATTAAAATTGAAACTTTGAAAATTCAGATTTCGTTGACAACGCAATACTCGACTTAAATATACAAATCTGTACTCGAGAAATACTTGCTTGAATTAGTAAAATACAACCACATTCGACAACCATAACCTCTACAAAATTTTATCTGAAGATGTTCTTTCATAATTATTTTTTGCATTAATTTTTTTTATTTTTTTTCATGAAAGTCATTTTCAAGTGCATGGTGTAACAATTAATCTAGCTTTATCTAAGTTGAACAAAGCTGAGCGTCCACGAGCAATTCAGTTTACTCTCAACCATCCATAAACTTTTGCACTTTCGTTCTATTGTACTTTTACTCTATCCGACAACATTTATCAAGTGACGTTCGTTAAGAAACTCCAGGGAGATGAATTCAACAAAGTAATGACACACATCTGTCATTACCTTTGTTGGGGTGTTTCCAACTATTATTGTCCTAATCACAGCTTGCAAGTTGCAACTGTTGCAACATTTTTTTGTCACATTTTTCAACTTAAATTGACACTGAAGTTTAAGGGACCCCTAAGTCCATGGATCTATGGCAGGGGGGATGTCCTAATTGATAACTTCCATAATTTCTTTGACCCTTTAATTTATCGAAGACAAGTGCATTTGGATCTTAGATTTGTAATTTACACCCTGTTTGAGCCAACTTTTTGGGACATAAAAATGAAATTTTTTACCGTTATATCTCTCTTCAATCCGCAATTATTGATCGATTGTGTCATGTGTGGGACTCAGATTCTATACAAACGGTCAACTTTTTTATGAAAATGATTTGAAAAATATGGTACAAACATACTCTTATTTAGTTCATTTAAAATAATGAAGAGATTTTGGGTCAAATCTCAACATGTGGGGTTGGAAACATAGTCAAGTAGAAACCCTACTTAGGTTGGATGGTACTCTATTATTGATTATTTTTTCTTAAAGCCTACACATCCCTTTTGTTAGGCATTTATGGTTTAGTACTTTTTAAGGATCTTGGAGGCTTAAATGTGGACAACTTTCACTTGAGGTCCCTCGATTTCATCACCTTTAATTTGTCTCGATTTATATTTTTTTTCAAGCGTTATTATTATTACGTTTCTTTTTTAAGTTGAACGGTCTTGTTAAACTGATAAAATTCTCATGACTAATGAAAAACTTTTAATTTATATGCTATTCATCATTGAACTCTGCTATGCTGACAGACTTTTTTGACAGATTTTTGAATAGAGAGCCTATTTGAGCGCCTTTTTCCATTCATCATTTGTGGAAAAAAAAAAAACTTACACCGTTTAAACAAAATGAGTTGAATTCACCAATGGCCCACATTAAGTATGAAGGTTGATCATAATGAAATAAAATCAAATTGGATGGCCAATGTGGTACTAATTATAAAATTGAGTGGCTATTGGTGAATTTAGCACAAAAGATAAACATTTGGCAACACGACTTTTAGCACTTGAAAATTTTGTATAAGCTTTTTCATGAATTTTCACAATATTTTTTTCAGTTTTGATAAAAGTTATGATAATTTATAAAACCAATCAAATTTTTGTTATAAGAAACATAAAATTACAAGTGCAGACATAACATAATTGAAAATTCCAGTTGGTCCCAAAAACCATATGACTGCCTGATATTTGGTCGTAAATATAGGAGGTATGAATTAATAAACTTACGAATAAATTTGTCTTATGCTGTATGTGAATACTTCCTTTTATAAATTTTTAAATATATCTCATAGTTTAAAATTAATTTTTAAGTTTTCATTGAAAATCAACATTTTTTACGAATTACATGTTAGAGTAACATATGTGTTATTATGTTTAGAGTGTCATTAAAATAGTTTAATTTTTTTTATTAAAAAATAAAATATATTTTTAAAGGTTACATATACTGTGTATTTTGGATAAACAATCAGCAGCCGTCGTCACCACCACTACTATCGTAGTCATGATCGAAATCAAGCTCTCAAGTACTATCATCATCTTCCAAATTTCGCATCAACATTGGGGCAACACATGTATTACTTGTAAAATAATACACATACTACTGCTACCATAACTCGACATATTCTAGTATAAAAAATTTGAACACCATCAATATGCACATCGTACTGTTGCCGCCAAATTCGAAATGAAGCTCCCAAACACTAACACCATCTATAAAATCTCACCAATATCGCCATCAACATTAAGGTAGCACATTTATTATTTGTAGGGTAACCATTGCCATAAATCTCTATTCTCACAAAAGAAAATAAAATCAAAACATCGCCAAATTACACCTTCTACCGCTGGCTATGAAGTCATCACCATTGGTATCAAGCTTCATACACTACCACCATCTTCCAAATCTAATAAACGCCATCATCAACAGAAATTTGAAAAAATAATCACCATTTTAGGTAATCTTAAAACATTTCAAATACTACGAGCTCTTCTTCGGGATATTTATGCTTCAAACATTACCCACATATTTTCTTTACTATTGCAAAGAGGGCAATCAGAAAAAAAAAGGCAGGAGGACGAGACCTGGTTGACCTCCTATAGGTATGTTCTAGTCTAGTGCTTGTTTGATAGGAATTTTGATAATTGATTTTTTGACCGTCAGAGATAAAATGGATTTTACCAGTCAGAGAAGAATTAAAAAATGACGGTTGGAGTAGTGAAATAACGATAAAAAAATTAATTTTAATTGACTTAATATTTGTACCAAACAAACTCCTAATCTGACCATCAATGGTGTTCGACAGCCCAGCTAGAAAGTGGAAGAAATGATAAGTTTTTCAACCTAATAACAATGACGACAATGACAATAACTGGAATAATACACCTTCGGTTCTCTTCTATTGGTGGATACTTTCACATCTATAGATCCAAATAAGGATGTTTGACAACGACAACACACGGAAGCAAGGAAAGCAAAGCTGTAATGGGAGAGAAAATTTTAATTTTTGTTATAATGGATGCAGGGTAAAAATTAAATAATAAAAAATTGGGTATATTTGCACTTTTTTGAAGAAAAATGAAGTATGTGGTGAACTTAATGCAATTTAGCCCTCGTTTGAACCCCATTTTTCATTTATTAAAATCTATTATTTAATTGTGATCTAACATCATTTTCATCACACATTTTTCAATAAAATAGTATTACATGCATACCCAAAATTTTTCTTACTTTTTAACCACATATTCTCCATCGTAACACTATTTCAAAATGCATTTTTGAAAAAAAATGGGGCTCTAATAACTCCTTATTATTGTGGGCAGATAATAGCCTACTCAGCTTCAAATTTTGTCGACATATCATTCTAATTAAACTAAGGTCGGATCAAAATTACGAGTTTAGTTAGATTTCAGCTAAACTTCATTGATATTGGATCTAGAAATTGAGAACCAGACGCTTAGTCATTTTAATTTTAGCGATATGCTATTGAGAAATGGATGGTATTCGTGGATTCTAAAAAAATTATAGATAAAAAATGATTGGACCAAAAATATTTTTTTGACCCTAATAATTGTAAAAGCATGTAAACAATGAGTCAAATTGTGCATTTATTATCAATTGCTTCTATAATCACGTCCCTAACATTTATTCTTATAATAGTCCACCAAAAGTAAAATCTGTCCAAAATGACCTATATTAAACAATCATGCTATAAAACGTTTACATGCAAGTATACAATACTTGGCATGCATTCATTAGAAGATGAAAAAAAAAAGTGAATCATATTTTGACGCGTCAGCTTCGATAACAAATTTGTCAAAAATTTCTTATACTTGGAGCTTTTTCCCATATTAAAACACGTGAATAGAGACACCATTTCACAAGTATTAATAAATAATTCAAAATAATAATAATAATAATAATAAATAAAAATTGTACTATTTTCTTTTTCCTTGTATATCGAACGAAAAAATTGATATCCCATCTCCCTAGAGTACATGTGAATTGAAGCTATTCCCCATACATCTTTTATATTTCAAAATTGGTATAATTTCGCCATTCTTGCTAAAATTTTATGGACGAAGCAATCATTCCATGCATAAAAGGGTTTATATTAGCACAATTACGAATGACTAAATTCTCTGCCTCTTTTCCGTTTGTATATTTTTTTACGAAAAATATTTAAACGACATAGAAAATAAGAATTGTTTCATCCCGCCTCACCTTGTTCTAGCTCCAATTCCTGAAATATGTATAGCAGCCACCTCACTCCGTCCCACCTATCCCCACCTCGTTTCAATCACTGAGCACATTGTATGTATGCAAATTACCGTTAAGGATGAATGATCTCTTCCTTGTTATAAAAAAGTATAATAGTATTTTTAAGTACTTATAAATTGCAAATTTTATGAAATATCAAGATAATATGTATATTAAGTTGGGAATCTAAAAAAATATGTGAATAGAACATATATTCGACTATTTTAACTTAAGATTTACCAAATATGTTAAGGTGCAAGGAGAAAATTTAAGAGTAATTTTTCTAAAAAAATGAAAAAGAAAAAGAATACAAGAAAAAAATGATTTTAACTTTTAAAGTGGAGTCTCAATTGAAAAAAAGAAAGAAAGAAAACATATATGTTCCCATATAGTGTCAATAAAAAATCCGAATTTAATTTTTATTACAACAAAAGTTCTCTCTCTACAATTGTCAAGTTGAACTTCAAAGCCCACCCCCTCAAATCTTGAAAATCTCTCCTCACTCTCCCTTGTTCTTGATGCTCACTGTAAATTCACATTTATAGAGGCTCATATAAGCACATGCACATATATCAGTACAGGAAGAGAGTTTGTGCGTGTGTGAGAGAAATGTCCTTTTTAGTTTCAGTCTTTCAGGTTTCAGCCATTATTTTCTCTTCAAATCTCGATAACTCTCTCTTCTTTTGTACTCTTCATCAACCCTTCTTCCTCTATATTTAATTTGACTGTTGAGATTGCTTAGTCGTTTAATCGTGTGACTGGGGATTGATTTTCAGCCTTTCTTCACGTAAGTGAACTGAAAAATTAAGTGCATTTCGCCTTTAACCATTCTATAATTAATCGGATGTGTAAGTATGTGTATGCCTACACACCTCTAAGCACAAATGCGGATTCGTATACTTGCAGCTCTCTTTCTTCTCTCTCTGCATTTCTGTAAATAGTGGTCTAAATCTGTAATTATTCGCATGCACTGTTCATAATTTTGGCGTGTTTATGAGATTAAATCTGGGTCAGCGTTATTTGTACATAATTATCGTTTTCTGGGCCTTATTTGAATATTTCATTTGAAGTTTCACCCGTTGTTTTATTGGGTTTTGATTGCATGCATTGCAATTTTTTCGATTTTTTACTGGGTTTTGTTAAATGTGGGGATTGACAGTGACCTCAGTCTTTTCCTTTTCTTTTAATCATTTGTTGTGAAGTTGGTTAATTTTACCCAGAGTTTTGTTACTTCAGTATGCTGTATTCTACACTGTTTTTACTGTTCAGCATCCACACAAGGCAAATAAGGATTTATAAAAGGTGGGATGGTTTTAAAATACTGAATCATATTGTCATTTTTACATGTTATGCCTAAAAATTTTGAAGAATTGGATTACTTTACTTGTTTTGGCCATTTTGGACAGCTGTTCGATTGACTTTTACTGTTCAGCACATATTTTCTTTTGTTTGAGAATTTTATATGTCCTTCGGCATTTGATTCTGTACTGGTAGCATTTTAAGGGAGTTCCATCATTTTGGGGTTTAAATTTGATGCTAGCTGTGGATCTTTCCCTTTGTTGTAAGTAATGAATACAAGGTAAATGATGGTAATTTTCGCAAGATTATTCTAGCTCTTGAAATTTAGTGCTAAGTTGTTATATTCGGTAAAAGGGTGTCAAATAGATGTTGAAAAATCTGGCCTTTAATTTTTGCCCATTGCTGTAAGATTTTTTAATAAGTTTTGATTTGTTCTAGTACCTCTTCGCTATGTTTAAATTATTTGCTTGATATTATGTTTTGTAATTAAGTTGAGAGAGAGATGAGGGGCTCCCCCCCTCCCAGAGGAGATTAGAAAAGAGGGATATACCAAAATTAACATGGTATAGTTGCATGTTTTGCTAAGCTTAAAAGCTGTCCCTCTTATTTGCAACTTATCCAAAAAAGGTGTTAGTTTGTTGTTGTTGGGATGGTTGGGGGACTGTAGTTGAACATAACTAGTTTGTGTCCTTATCTATTCTTTAAATTTTAGATTTGATTTGGATGCAAAGACGGATTGTTGTCATATTAACTTGTAATGGTGGTGAGTTACGAATTTAATTGTGGGGAAGAATGTCATGATGGTAGTGAAGATTCTATGCCATCAACTGTCAACATAACATGATTTAGCCTCGAGGACCTTCATCGTGTTGGCTCAGCTAACACTAATTGCTTTACTTTTTTTAATTTTTTTAATTTTATTTTTTGACACGGGGTACTTAAATGAATGCATCAGTTGCCATGTGCAAATTGTTCTCTACCTCTTTAATAACTAACTGTAATGACCTTTACAGTTGACTTAAGTTTCATTACTTTATTTCTATGATACTTTATGACAATGATCAACAATCTCATTTGCTCCATCTCTTGATCTGCAGCGAGGAAACCGAATCTTGTTAGATTCTATCCTATGGAACTTAATGGGCATAGGAGAGCTAGACACAAGGATCTTACCACTCATCAAAATGGTGATGTGATCACTTCAAATGTAGAGGACGAGCTTGATATATGGACTGCTTTGGCATACAAACCTCGTACCATTTCAATGTTACTTATTGGTGCATGTTTCCTAGTGTAAGTTACTTAACCTGTGAGTTTAGTCTCTTTCTTTTCTCTATTTATAGTTTTGTGGCTCGCTTCTTGATGGAATGAGTTGATTATCTCACTTATATTGTGAGGAGTTTTCCCTTCCATTTTTCTTTTTTTGGAGATGATTACATATGTTCATTTTATTAGTTCTGGCATTCGGAGCATTTGAATACTACTACATAATGTTTATAAGAAGCTTCACTATATCACAGTGATACAGTACTGCAAAGCTAAGTTGAATATACTAATTCTGTATATTAAAAATTCTACCAGATGGGCAAGTGGAGCGCTTGAGCCTGAACGTAGTGCTGCAATTGATCTTGTTACTTCTGTAAAAAGGTATGTGCTTGGTTATCCGTGTGCTATATTTGCATTGCTTTATGAACATACTTTTTAAACTGTCCAATGTTGAATTTTTATTTTTTATTTATTTTTATTTTTTGGTAGGGGTACATGGGCAATGATTGCAGTGTTTCTTGCGTATTGTTTGTTTCAAGCTCCTTCTACGTGAGTTGCTTATACTTTCTTGTTAATGTACGTTTTGGCCTTTTCATCGAAGTTTGAATTATTTTGATATTTGTAAATATGTTTGGTTCATCCTGAGGCTTCTAAATTTTATGATTTTTGTTTTTGTTATATTTGGTTGGAGGAATTGTCTCAGGATTAGAAAGTTCTTGCATGCAGAAATATGAGACTGAAAGTAGATCCATTTTCTAAACATCTAGCTTAACTACTCATCAGATGTCGAAATATGGTTTCTGAAGAGTTGTAAAATTTTGATGCTTGGTAATGCAATTGTAGTTATATGATGTTCTGAGTTCTTCAGTCCTTGCAAGCAAAAAGATTACGAAGAATAGCATTTGGTTTAAATGTTTATGTCATTGCATACTCATCTAATATGGACATCCGTTAGAGTTCAGTTTATCCAAGAATCAGAAATTAATAACATGTAGAGGCTGCATACAGAAGAAGATAAAGAATTTCTTTGGCGTTTTGATAAAGTTCTTTTATTTTGAAATTGAAGCCTGACAGAGGAACGTCTTTGATAGTCCATCACTTCTTCATTTTAGATAGAGGAATGCCATAATATTTCAGAATCTTCTTTTACATCTGACTCTTCACTGGATGGAGTTGGTCATCTCATTGGCTTAGTTGGAAAGTTCTTTTAGTGGTCAATCATTACTGAAATTAAGTAAGAGGGAAATGCTTCCATGATTTACCTACAGTGCTACTTAGATTTCGATATTAAAAATCCACTTCTGAATCTATTTGTTCTTTCATTCTGTTACTAAATTCTTTTTTCTACTAATCTCATGTCAAATGGAGTATAAGTTTACTTTAAGATTGTAATTTTACAAAATGATGTATTTTTTAATGCCCATGCTTAGTTGACTAATAAAAGAAAATTGTTGCTATATAAATTATTATTGCAACGTCTTTCCCTTTTCCACTGTTTTTCAAATTAGAGGTGGCAACTTTGAAGGGATTAGTTCCAGTTAAAGGTATGTGACTTGGAATATATTACACTACGGTAGTCATTGTCGCTCTCTACAAGGGAGCATCAAGGGTGAACGAGATAAATTTATAGAAGGCCTTTGTAAATATGGATGTTTGATGCTTACTTTAAATTTTATCTATGTATATAACCTGTTGGTCTACTTGCTCAAGGTTTGCTAATTTATTTGCTTACAGAGTACTAGTCAGGCCACACCCTGCAATTTGGCGCCTTGTTCATGGAATAGCTGTCGTGTACCTCGTCGCATTGACATTTTTGCTTTTTCAGGTCAGTTCCTAATGTTTGCTTCGTTGAGTACCTAATAGCTACAAAGACAGATTTCTGAACTGTAGTAAATTGTAACAGCATGTTCTTGCTATAAACTGTACGCCAAGTATAGTTGATAACATAAAGATTTATTATTTATATGGATTTTGTTTCCATATAACTGATTCTGGGATACTTTTTGAATTAATTCTTATAGGGCTTTTTATTTTAATCGTTTTTTGGTAACAATTTTTAGTCATTGATTCGTTTTTGTAGCCATTCTATTCTGACACGCTAATTTTTCATTGTTTCCAGAGGCGTGATGATGCTCGGCAATTTATGAAATACTTGCATCCTCATCTTGGTATTGGTAAGGAGTATACCTTCCGCTTTCTTTACAAATGCAAGTTTGTAATAATTTTTGATCTTTAATTACTTGTAATTTCTCTGATGCAGAACTGCCTGAAAGATCCTACGGTGCTGATTGCCGAATTTATGTGCCTGAAAATCCTACAAACAGGTTTAAGAATGTTTATGTACGACATCTTCTTTCTTAATATTTTATCTGTTACTTCTGTTTTTATGCAAGTTTTATTTTTTGTTAACCTTTTCTAATTATATGTTGTACTTTATAATTCTACTGGAGCTGAAGGACTACGATTTATTTTGATTTTAAGGAGACACTTTTCGATGAGTTTGTTCTGGCACATGTTCTTGGATGGTGGGGGAAAGCTATCATGATTCGCAATCAGCCTCTTTTGTGGGTACTTTCAATTGGATTTGAGTTGATGGAGGTCAAACCTTAATTCCTTCTGCGTGTTTCTTTTGCTATATGTTCATTCCAAGAAAATGTTAAAGGAAAATGTGTATTAGTTCTTTAAGACGATATTTATGCTGGTGTTCTCAGCTAACCTTCCGCCACATGTTACCCAACTTCAACGAATGCTGGTGGGATAGCATTATTCTTGATATATTAATCTGCAACTGGTTTGGTAAGAACTTTTTGATTTTGTTATGAGACACAGATTGTTAGTTTGTTCCATGAACTATTCGAGTATGTTTGGTTTGCAATATTGGACATGATTCTAGTGTCGAGTTAAATTGAATTGTCAACTTCTGAGATATGCTATCAATAATCTCATCTTTGCTGAGTCACCGACCAAATAACACTACATATTGTTTATGGTGGAACCTCTGAAATCTGAACTTAACCTCTCTCCCCATATGATTAGAAAAGGAGTTAAAATAATTTGCTTTTTCCACCTGCCATCATGCATAACTATTGATTATCTAGGTCAAACATGCATATTTTGGGATGACCTTTCCAGTGATTCATTTATTGTGCAACTAAGATTGAAAATAATAAAATTCGTCGATAGTACTTCCAAGCAAGGACTTGATGATTTTGAAATATCAATGGCAAATGGTTAATTAGAATTAAAGAAGGAAACATGTTGCAGATCATTAGACAAAACTAACTTGAAATGGTTATTGCCATATGTCCATCATTCAAGTTGAAGATCTCGTCTGCTACTTTATTTCAACTTAATTTTATGAACTAATCAGAATGTTGTTATCTAGATTTTACTAGTGCCATAAAGTCCTCATGTGAAACTGGGATAATTCAACCTGGTCTCCATCATAGTTTCCCAGAGCTCGATGATACCACCTTAAGGTCTTGTCTGCATCTATATTTGTCAAATTGTTATTGGCTAATAGCCTGTAGATGGACAACCATGGAACTATATCTCTTGCTAGTTCAAAGTCAAACAGTGATACTATGTTATGAAAAAAACTACTGTTTTAAGGAATAATAAGGAATGTAAAACATTTTCTTATTGTTGCTCTACAGGTATTTGGGCAGGAATGCGTACTGTTCGCTACTTCGATGGTAGAACTTACAAATGGGTTGGTATGAGCCAGCATCCAAACCTTATTGGGAAAGTATGCTTATTTTCGACATTTTCTTCTAGAATTTTTGTATCCTTTCCTTTAATTTGCTGATATATGTTTGAATTGAATGCGGGTTATGCATCATTAAACAGAACTTTTTGGTCTTCATGTTTAATATGCTTGACATGTTTTAGATCTCTACTGCCCTCTGGCAAGATATCTTCAAATAGCTAAAACTTCTCATATGCTTTCCCGTGCGAATCTCTTCAGCTTCAACATTTAGCAATTTTACACTTTTCAAAGGTCTCCGTATTGTTATGTATTGCTAAAATTTTTATAGCATTTCCCTTTTATCCTTTATTGTCATGTGAACCTTCTTGTTCCACCACCAATTTTATTATTAGGCGTGCTTATTCCCCTTGACTACCCTTGTATCTCCTGTGTCAGGTTTTGTTCGCAGCTAGCCACCTCATTCCTCGTCATGTTACTGTCTCTTTTCTATATCCATCTTTTATTCCTTCAAAACTCCATTTCGGTTTACTGTAAGAAGATAAAAGGTTGCCAATTATGATCTTATATAAACAGGGTACTTATTACTTCCTTTCATTTGCAGGTCAAAAGAACATTGGGTCAATTTACACCTGCACGGTGGGACAAAGATGAATGGCACCCTCTTCTTGGTCCTTTACGATTTGTTCAAGTTCTCAGCCTTTGCATTGTTTTCTTGACTGTGGAACTCAATACGTTCTTTCTCAAGTTTTGCCTTTGGATTCCTCCACGAAACCCCCTCATAGTATGGAGATTGGTTTTTTGGTGGCTTATAGCAATACCAACAATTCGTGAATACAATTCTTACCTGCAGGACAGGTATTTTGTGCCTTTCTCAATTCCGATGCATGCTGTATAGATATTGGGCATTGGCGTTTGCAAAATATGCGTATTATCTTCTCACTTTTTGCTTGATTAATGATATCACTTATAGGAAACCGGAGAAAAAGGTGGGAACATTTTGTTGGCTTTCTCTTGCTATCTGCATAATGGAACTCCTCATCTGCATCAAGTTTGGACATGGTGTGCTTCTTATTATCTTTTGTTAATTACGTTTCTGCAATTTTCACTTGATTTATGGCACCCTCTTCTTGGTCCTTTACGATTTGTTCAAGTTCTCAGCCTTTGCATTGTTTTCTTGACTGTGGAACTCAATACGTTCTTTCTCAAGTTTTGCCTTTGGATTCCTCCACGAAACCCCCTCATAGTATGGAGATTGGTTTTTTGGTGGCTTATAGCAATACCAACAATTCGTGAATACAATTCTTACCTGCAGGACAGGTATTTTGTGCCTTTCTCAATTCCGATGCATGCTGTATAGATAATGGGCATTGGCGTTTGCAAAATATGCGTATTATCTTCTCACTTTTTGCTTGATTAATGATATCACTTATAGGAAACCGGAGAAAAAGGTGGGAACATTTTGTTGGCTTTCTCTTGCTATCTGCATAATGGAACTCCTCATCTGCATCAAGTTTGGACATGGTGTGCTTCTTATTATCTTTTGTTAATTACGTTTCTGCAATTTTCACTTGATTTGTTGATTTCACTGTACTCTTTTGTGAAGAATGTTCTCTTATTCGATCATTTTGCAGGATTGTTTCCTAATCCCATGCCCAAGTGGTTGGTAAATTTTTGGACGTCTGTTGGGATTGGCCTTGTAATATTCTTGGCTGCGTGGTCATGGCAACTGCAAAGGGTGATGTATAAAAAACGGTGATAAGTGCATTTGTGGTTGAGTTATTCTTTAGATTCATACATTGTGGCAATGAGTCTTGCTGTAAATCCACATCACAATTGTAGTTACAAATGTCTACTCCTTTAGGTTAGACATCATAACCGATTCATGTAGAGAACCTTGATTCTTTTATACTAGGTGTAGTAAAGGTCGATTTTTTTTCTCGAGTGGAGCATAGCTCGTTGAAAGCAACCTCCTTCATCTTCAGTACCGTTCTTTTTCCCCATAGGCAGCCCCCTTTCTCTTTCTTATTTTCAATTGTAATTCAATTGTGTCGGCGAACATCTGATTATTTTGAGCAGCTACCTTGAATTATATATGCTTGTGAGCAAGCGATATGATAATGCCAGATACATTTTTTAGGATAATCTTTTCTTGTTTATGACAACATTCTGGATTTGACATCTGACTAGAATTTGTACTCGTTCATAGGACAGTCAAGTGTGTGTTTAGTACACAATACTTAAAACTTTTCCTTAGAGGCGTGTAACAAAATCATTTGAAGAGGCTTTTGGATTTCCTAGCTCTAATTCTGTTTCGCAAGTAACGCTGGAAAGCTTCTCGAAAAGCAACCTTAATTGCAGAAATTTCTCGCGGTGGATGAAGGCATGTCCCCACCTCATCAACTTGTACTCCGATTCCCTGAGAGAGCACCAAGAGTTTTTCTAACAGAACCGTTGAGATACTACAACCATCTCCACTCTCCTGCTTAAACAAGCGAATCAGTTCCTTGATAAATGCAACTGTTTCAGACACATGGCTGATAGTTAAATGAGCAATCTTAATCTCTTTAAGTGACAGGTCATTGCCCAGATCTCCATCACATGAATCATTATCGTCGTCTGGTTTTTCTCTGCTTTCATGTCTACCTTATGATATCAGAAGCTTCATCTGCTAGGTCAAAGGAAGGTAGTTTCAGTTCCTTCATTTCACAATGAACCTCCTTAATGGAAACTGCAACTTGGGTCATTGCTCGTCCAATTGCCATTACATTAGTGGAAGGAGTCTTCTTAAGGGCTGAACATATATCCCAGACTGTGCTCACTAGTTGTGGAATTGTGAGTTTTTGAGATTTATCATGGGATCCTAATCAATTATTTAGGAAAAGGAATAAGTTGATTTTGAGTTAAAAATAAAAAAGAAAAAAGAAAAAAGGAAAGTTGCATACTCATAGAAATAAAAGCAGGAAGTTATCAAAATTCGGTCCATGGATACAAGAATATTAATATTCTCATGAAGAAGAGATTATATTTTACTATTGCGAGAGAAAGTAAAGTTATTGTGAAGCCATCTCGTGCATACTTTATGACAGTACCATTTTTTGGCTTACTCACTGGACATCCATAGCTTCGAGGAGGTACTGAACAACAAAGACATCCACACAAGGCAAAGGAACGAATTCATAAACACAGCTCGCTATATCCTTCCATTTCTTGTTTTTCCTTCTTTTATTTGAATTCTTTTAATATGCCAGTGTGATCTTTGGCCTACAGGTCTGCTTGTTTAAAACACCCCATCAGCCTGTTTAGTTGTAAGGATTTGGGCTGCTGAAATCTTTGAGCCCAATTGACATTTTGCATGACCCGGCCCAATGATTTTAACACACTTACCGAAGGTTCTAGACTTGACAAAGTCGTGTTTTCTTGAAACGCAATTTAACTCCAAAATGCGTCATCTGCTGGATCTCCTACGCATGGCATATTTGTGACTGTTGGATTGGTCTATGGGAGACGCCTCATATAACTAGGGTTTGAGATATTTTGTTCAACCCTAACTTTTCATTTTCTTGACTGTCGTTCTTCCTCTTCGAACTCTCCATTTTTCTGTGGGTTTACTTTGTGATTTCTGTGTGAAATCCTTTTAAAGAATTGTTGAGATTTATCTCTGTGTGACATCTGTGTATAGAATCTGAGGGCCTCTTGTGATTAGGAGAAACGGCAGTGTACTCTCATATGTTTGTAACTTGGTTTTGCCCAATATGGGTATCTTGATAGTGGATTCGAGTTTAATCCGTATGGATGCTTAACGGGGATGTAGGCGTTAGTTGGTCGCCGAACCTCGGGGCATTTGGCCGAAAATTCTTTGTGTTGTTTTATAATTTTTCTGCACTTTAAGATTTTGTATTTTACTGAAAAATACTCGAACGAATAAAAGATTTGAACAACTGGGACTAACAGTGGTATCAGAGCCACTGCTAAAATTCGTTTTTCAAAATATTATTGTTCAAATCTTGCATTCTCTAACACGACTGTACTTAGAACTATAAAAAATTAATAGATCTGTTTCTGTTGTACACGAAATCTCTTCGATCTGAATCTTGAGCAGATCTGTGGAAACAGATTGGTACCCTTCGAAATAAACTGCAGATCTGGTGAAATCTATACCTTGTCCAAATTTAAATATTTACTGAATCCTGATTAGGGTTAAGTTAGGGATTTCTTCGAACCCCCTTAATTTTCCTTTGTCTAGGGTTTCATGCGAGAACCCTAGAATCTGAGGGAATTAAGGAACGGTGAAGAAATCCATTAGGGCATAATTTTTCTATGTACTGCGATTTATGTTAATTTCTGCATATTTTAAATTTGGTGTATAGGAATTCACAATACTAGTCAACAATCTGCAGTTGACACTATTCAATTATTTTTGTGTATGCACTTACATTTTACATAATTAGGCAAGAAATTGTTTTATTTGTTATTGCAAGAATAAATTGTCAAGTAAGAAGTTTACTGAGTGTGAACTGTTTTATGCAATATATTTCTGTTGTGCTCTGCATAAACTGTGACAATTTTTGGGGAATTAAATCTTGCCTAACTCATCTAAAATACTATAGTGCTATACTTGCACAATATGTCCCACAATATGTCCACTAAAATTGATATTCAACATTGCGATGGCAAAGGGGATTTTACTCTCTGGAGCCAGAAAACGAAAGCCCCCTTAATGCAATTAAAATGTGTTAAAGCAATTGATGAATCTTGGCCAGAAACTTTGTCAGAAGTTAGAAAAATCGAGCAAGATGAATTGGCATGGAGTACAATATTTCTTCATCTATCTGACTCTGTGATTAGAAAGATAGGAACTACTACTGCTGCTGTTGAGTTGTGGACAGCCTTAGAAAAATAATAGGTTTCTAAGTCTCTCCCAAATAAGTGCTTCCTCTGGAAACAATTCTTCAGTCATAAATTTGACCCTATTGTAGACCTAGAAGAAAATATGGACAGGTTTAATAAAATCACACAAGATTTAACCAATTGTGGGGAAAAGATCTCTGATGACCAGAAAGTTGTTGGTCTTCTAAATGCCTTGGGTGATAAGTATAAAGACATTAAGAATGCCTTAGAATATGGTAGGAGTGACTTAACTGTTGAAATCAGTCATGACTCACTCAAGACTAGAGATCTAGAACTTAAATCTGAACATAAAGTTGCCTTAAATGTTGAAAAATCAATGTCCAATCCAAAAATTCCCATAAAAGGTTTAAATAACTTTAGTCAAGCTAACTACAATAGAGATAAAAATTTCTCTAAGAAGAAATGGGGAAATAATAAAGGAAAGGACAAGAAGCTATACAAAGGAAAGGCTAACAATAGAAAATGTTATTATTGCGGTAAAACTGGTCATTTGATAAAAGACTGCTTCAAAAAGGCTAAGGACCTAGGAAATGACTCTAAGCAAGAAAATGGCACTTCAGCCATTGCTGCTTCCTATGAAAGGGAAGAAGATGCTGATATTGGGGTAGCTTATGTGCACTCATTAGAGAAATCTGAATATGACTGGGTTCTAGATTCATGGTGCTCCTTTCATATGAGCCCTAGTATTAAATGGTTTACTAATTACACAAACCTTAGTGGTGGATGTGTAAAACTGGGAAATAATGATTCCTGTCAAGTAAAAGGAGTTGGAAACATTGTTTTAAAATTGAAAAATGGTCAACACCTAAGACTAAATTATACTAGATATGTCCTAGCACTTAGAAGGAATCTTATATCCCTTGGGGTCTTAGATGATGAAGGGTATCAAATTGAAATTAAGGATGGCTTCACAAAATTAAATAGAAATCAGTCACTTATATTCAGATCACCCAAAATAAATGGTATCTATATCCTAAATCCTGATGATGTCATTCAGAATGCTGCTGTGAATTTGATGACACAACTAGATAATTCTGATCTATGGCACAAAAGACTAGGTCATCTTAGTGAGAAAGGTCTAAAGACACTTTCAAAAGCTGGTGTTTTTTAGGAATGACAATGTTCAGAAGTTAACCTTCTGTGAACATTGTATTATGGGAAAACAGAATAGAATGCCCTTTAATCATGGCACTCATAAGTCTCAAAATATACTTGAATACATTCATAGTGACTTATGGGGCCCTGCACCTGTGTCCACTGTATCTGGATATAGATATTACCTCCTTACTGTTGATGACTACTCCAGGAAACTTTGGATCTTCCTACTAAAATCAAAATCAGACACCTTCTTAGTCTTTAAGGAGTAGAAAACCTTAGTAGAAAATCAAACAAGTAGGAAAATCAAAGTTTTAAGAACTGACAATGTTTTGGAGTTCTGCAATACTGAATTTAATCAGTACTGCAATACTAATGGCATACTAAGACATAGGACTGTCACCTATACTCCTCAACAAAACGGTGTAGCTGAGAGAATGAATAGAACCATTCTTGAGAAAACTAGGTGCATGCTAATTAGTTCAGGATTACCAAAAATTTTTTAGGGGGAAGCAGTAAAAACTGCTTGCTATCTGATAAATTTGTGTCCTTCCACTTCATTAAATAATAAGATACCACAACAAATATGGTCAGGATCTGTTCCAGACTATTCTCATCTAAAAACCTTTGGGTGTGCAGCCTATGTTCACCAAATTGACTCAAAACTTGACCCAAGATCTCTGAAATGTGTTTTCTTAGGATATGGGGAAGGGGTAAAAGGCTATAGACTCTGGCTGAAGGAAGCAAAATGATTTAAAGTAATCATAAGTAGGTTTGTGATTTTTAATGAAGATGTTTTCCCATGTCTTGGTGACTATAATGAAGACAAAATTACAGATAATGATTTTGTTATGACTGAAATAAATTTTGAAAGCCAAAATTCCCTTGAACAAATACATACTGAGGTGGAGACACCTCAGGTTGAGATCCAGTCAGACACTAATGATGAGAATGTAGATAATTCTCAAGAATTAGAACATGCACATGACTTGCAGGACTATCAGTTAGCCAGAGATAGAGAGAGAAGAACTATTAGACCTCCCTCTAGGTACCAGTTTGCAGACTATGTGTCTGACCAGGTAGATAAAGAATTCTTAGATAAGGAACCTGAATGCTATGAAGAGGCTATCACCTCTAAA